TTGTTCATGATAGAGAACGTTGTTTGGAAATTTCGAACGCGCTCACAAAACACAAAGTTTATGAAGAAGACAAATGGCATTTACCTAAGATTTAATTAGGTTTCTATAAATAATATATTACAAATGAAATATCAAAAACTTAAAGCCTACACTTACCTATTTATAATCCAAATAGGTTTATAACTTAAAAACCATACCTAATGAAAATAGTGTAGTAGTAGCTAAACTTGGATATATGGCAAACCACCTCTTAAAATCGCTTAGAAAATCTATTTTATACATCAACGATCTAAAGATATTGGACACGCTTTTAAGGAGATGGATTTTGTTCACCATAACAGAACTTGTATAGCAACATGCAGAATTTCTATTACATCAAACTCCCTACCTTTGTATGTTCTTTGTGTCTTTTGTTGAAAGCACTTTTATTAACCAATATTACACGCCATAACCAATATATTTCCGAACCAATGTGACCTTCAAAACTTCAAGAAAGGAGCGTAGTTCTTAAAAGGACGGCAACGCGCCCTTGACTCCTCTGGTGTATCTAGCGGATGTCAATGGACGGCACTAATCGCTTGCCTACAAGTGATCCGTTTGCTCATCATCCGCACATCTGAAGAAGGTCATCAGCCCTTCGGAAGCTATTAAGAACGTTGTATTAGCCATAGCGAATTGTAAAGAACGATGGGAACTTATCACGCACCGACATTCACATAAGGCTTCTTAATTACACCCATTTACACCATGAGTTGAGACTTACTGTTGATTTATTGGTCGTCTTTGAGTTTTATAATTAAGTTTGGTTATAAAGTATTTTTTATTGAGGTGATTACTAGATATGTCTTACATTATTCCAGATTCAAGATCACAGAGAAACTGATAGAAGTTAATTTACTGTTGCACAAAATAACAGTAAATTTTGTTTACGTTCAGTATTTACTTCACAGAAATCAATACAATATAAATATTAGATTCCTATTAAAAAAATCTAGATGTGGCCGCCAGTAAGGCGGCCACATCTAGATTTTTTAATTATTATGATGTCATAAAAACGCTGTGTCGTAATAAAAAAAATTCAAACATTTCATATTTAAAACATTCTATATTCTAAATTCAAAAGCTTTTGTTGTACTATATTGTGCCTTATTTGACGTAACTTGAGCTGCAGACATTAATGATTAGAACTATTATTGAAATATTGCGAGACTGCAGGGTTATCTCGGGGTCGGATCGCGCACGCAACTTCGCATTTCCTTGTGGTGCAACTGCAGGTTAGGGTTATAGGTGACGAGGTGAATCTCACTAAGTTTTGAATACGATTTGGAAATGATTCTGATAGACATCACTTCAGGTTAGCATATGAGAAAAATATTGAGTTTTCTAAATGAATACCCATGATATGAAACCATTTTATAGTGACCACATGGTATGTTATTTTTTATAGTTTATAGATAAGTAGTTTTTATTATCGATAGACAAAATTCACTTGGCTATGCTGGTATTATATAACATTTTAAGTCAATCTATCAATCTAGTGTATGATCACAATTAAAAAATATAATAGCCTCCTATGAAACTAGAATGGAAATGAGCATTCTAATACAAAAAACAAGTGTCTATAATAATAACAAGTACTGAATCCTTGTGCAATATCAATTTGGCACACAATTGCAACGCCATTTTCAAACAAATGTCAGTTTGACAGCGCAACCCTAATTGGCCGGCCATGTTGAAAAGTAGCAGCGAATGAAAAAGTTAATGGAATGATAATTTGCTGTCTATTTAAGTCATAGATATCAAAAATTATCATGTTCTAATTTCAAAATCTTGTTTTCATTTATTATTATTGAACAAAATTCGGCACTAATTAAAAAAAATAATTGATAGGTACGTTTACAGTCCTTGTGGTATTTTTATGATTGTTTTATATTTTTTATTAATGTATGTGCATAGTGCACATTTAGATACAAAAAATATTATTTTTGGTAGGTATGTCTATAATTGCATAGTATAAAATTCGCGTCCCATCTGTCCCTATGTATGCTTACAACTTTAAAACTACATGACAGATTTTGTTGAGGTTTGAGGAGGTTTAGGTATATGTATTAAGATTTATTGACGGAGTCACGGGCAGAAAGCTAGTTGAATAACAAAATGAGAGTCAATTATTTCTATGATATAACATTTCTACCTACATTTCAAACATTTGTATCACCATTGGTATCGTTTATAAAAATACAGAATAACTTGCAATAAAAATGAACTATCTACGTCACGTTTCTAACTCAATCAGTAGATACATACTTATTTATTGAAATTATGTAGGTACTGTTGTATATTTCCAGTTCATTGACAGAATGATTACCAATACTTTATTGCGAATTGTTACATTATTTTTTTGATTTAGATGTGTTGTTTACAATTAATATTGTACTACTACTTACTACTACGTACTACTACCTACTTAGTACGACTTGCCATATGACTTACATTATGTATTTATTAAAATTATATCAAAAGTAGTTAGTAGAAGAAGATGTTGAAGTCCCAATTTAATGTTTTTATTTCCAAGAATATCGACTTAGTTCAATTTTAAAAAAATATCAAATTTGATCTATGTATGAGAACTAGACACCTACCGTAAACAAGCCTGCAAAATATTTACAGGAAACAGATTGGCATCACAAACAGTAGTTCGACATTTAATTGATAGAGCAACCATTAATAAAAACAATTCGCATCACAGACTCGCAGACAATTTAATGTTTGACGTATTTCACAGGAAGCTTGCGCCCGCGCACCCGATTGACTAACTGATCGATTCAAGGTAAATACAATTCGAATGGATTCGCGTGATTTGAGCTGAATATATTGACGTCCATTTGTTGTAAATATTTACTAAATAACAACGTTAGATATAAATACTTAGATTTATACTTGGCACTGAGGGGTTTTAGTTTACTAAGTATAATCTTTTGACGCATTCCGTTTTGTTTTCGCACTTCTAATTTCAAACTTGGTCGTTTTATGGTCGAGACCACACTAAACCACACATTTGCACAATACACAGTCTCTCACCATTCACCAAGAAAAAATATCCTACTTTCATCGTCGTTTGCTTAGTTAACAATTTTAAACTTCATAACAAACATGTGCGAAAGAAGTTTCTAGAACTAAGCTTGTTAACCCGGCGAATGCAGCTGGTTGTTGCAGGTAAAAAAACAGTAACCTTTTGCGCTCATTCGCAGATCGCGCGGCGTCTCGGGATTGACGCTACCGCAAACCGTAAGACCGCTTCATCGCTCCCAACCGTGACCGTGTAGCGGTCGGTCGTTTAGACCGGTAAAAAATCTTAGAACTCGTAATTCAACTGTCTTTGTCTTATATCATCCTATAGATGGTTCCAGACATATTTGAACCAGGAAAGAATGAACTCTTAATAAGCATCAATTTATTCAATCATTCAGTGTTAACACGCGCGTCGATTCAATTCTAAAGTACTTACATGCACGGAATTTTTATGTCTTCATTTAAAATCATTTTTTATGCAAACAATACACGTGTTTCAGTTTTGTTTTATCAGACAGAATACATGCACGAGTCCGTTACAAACGCGAATAAAAAAAGTAGCAAAAAGGTTTTAATAAATCCCGTGACAGCTGCGTTCTATAATCGTTTCCTTGTCTACAGCACAATTATCTTTGGTTTATTGTTCGCTTTCGATTTTCAAATTGACCAATACCTACTGGTGATTGATCTGTTCAAACTGTTATGTAAACAGACTTTGTTTTAAGACTTTTAGTATTGAGAAGGTATCCTATAAAGTATGGCGTCTGCTCAAAATTTTTGTTTATTGACAACTTCAAGATTGCATAACGACAACTTAAAAGCGTTTTTATACAATTCGTGCGTGGAATTGTGTTATTTTTTGGCAGAATCTAAAACATATTAAAAGAAATATCAACTTGTTCTATTTTCTCAACAAGTTCTTGGAATACTAGTCTAATATCCAGTAAACAATATTCACTAAAACCATCGCATACGTTTGGCGCCAAAACTAAAAAAAAAAAAACAAAAAAACATCTCTCGTAATTACAAATTGTTATCTTTCAGAATGCAAAGATTTCCCTTCCTGCATACTTAAAATTTCCGGATCGGCATCGCTGACTTCAATCTTAAAATATAATTTTACGAGGAATGCACTCAAATTCGGTATTTTCACAACAAAAGATCGTAAATTTAGAGAGAGAAGTTGTAAAAATATCTTATAAGGGAACAAATAGACCAAAACGCGGCAGATGTAGGTTAAGGAACATTTCGTAACAGTGTTCTGGGCAGATGTTTTGGAAGATCTATTGGAAACCCATCTTTATTTCCAATGGTATAAGTCTCGTTTTTAACTATAAAAGAAATGGAGCTTTAAATTATTGAATGTTATGTTAATAGGACAATCATGAGCACTTTTTGACAACTTTCGTCAATCAAAATAAACAATTGGAATAATTCCGTTGGTATTTAGTCTTAGTATTTCGACTTTTAGTAAATGGTTATTTGATGTGTTTTTATGTAATATGGCGGCAAACGAGTAGATTACCTGATGGTAAGCAAGAAGCGCCACCTATGGACACCCGCAACACTATATACAAGACTTGCAACTGGGTTGAGATAAGGGCTTTTAGGGATTTCGGGTTTGGGGAAAATGCGGAAGGAATGGGCCTACTCAACTCATGCAACGTCGTGGTTGTTTCACGCCAGTTTTCTGGAAGGCCGTAGTATCAATCTAGTCGAGCTGACAAATTCGTGGCAAGTAGTTTTTTACATTTTATACAATAAAATATTGTTGCGTAAATTTTGGTCATTTTAACTTTTACTTTAACTACATCTAGTAAGTAGTTGTAACATGTACATATGTATTAATAAAATTCCCCAAATATTTATTAAAAGCTTACATTAGTAAAGATGTTATCAAACGAAAATTGCTCTAGTTTTCACGCGTCATGCGTGAAATTTTGTTGTTCATCATGAGTAAGTAAAAGTGTGTTCAGTTTTTAACACTCTTCTTGATTAAAATTATTGCCTATTTAGATTTTTTAAAATGACAGAATCTTGTAAGTAGTCATAAAGTGTCAAGAGTAGGATTTTTGTTTGAGGTGGAATAATCATCAAATTACTTCTCCCGCCCCAGGTGAGGGGACATCAGGGAGTGTCGGAATCTAACTCCGGGCCGTGATCGCGGTTCATTATTGCGTTTGCACCCTTTACTCCAGCTGAACATATGTTATATGCATATGATATGCTGCATATATATCATGTACCCTACTGAGTCCATCTGTGAATTTTCATTGAATTCAATCTCAATTTTGACCGATGATGACTGGATTTTACGGAAATGTCTTTTAAAATTGTTCTTTTTTTAATCACAGCATTGGCGTTTTTCCGTTGCTATACATATAAGACAAAAAAATACACACCAATAATACAAAAGCGGTTGATTCTAGAAGCTTAAGAGTTATACTTATCACAGACTTCTCTGGTACATTTTGTATTCCAGTTTAGGAAGTGTACGGCTATATTAATCCTTGGTCTGTTGCCAATATTTCCCCCCGTTTCCTTGTAGGCACAGCCATATTGTGATAGGTTAACTCCTAACGTATTTATTTATACTTCCTCTTATAATATTATAGTTTGAGCCAAAATCGTGGTTCGTTTGTTTATTTTTAGCAATGAAAGGAATAGTATTTAATTGTTTTAATATTATATAATACAATTTAAGTGTTAAGTTTGCTTCCCAATCCCATAAAAATACATTGATAATAATTAAGACCTATATTTCGTTCCAGAACAAGGCAAAGTTAGGATTTGTAATAGGAAAAGTTACAAGAACATGGTCGGGGATGTATTAGTATACATATAGGATTTATGTTATTTAAATATAAATAAATAAATAAATAATAAATAAATGTATGTTATAAGTCTTCATACACGTAGCATAGGTTACTTATTAAGGAAGTTAATATCGTATATCGAACGGAAAATAATCTTATCGCTTGTTTCACCAAACTTGTACTTGTAAACTTGTACATAGTAAATACAAATTAGATTCCATTTATTCATTGTGAAACAAACCCTTATTGTGTAAAAAATAAGTAACAAATTACCGTAACACTCCACTACTCCGAATAAATATTGCACTTACCTCTACCTACTCTTAATAAATCATTACACATTTATTTCTCAATTTCCATCAGCTATTAGTTTATGCAATCGATGCAACACCCGGATGTCCGTTGAGTTGATCGATATACGGACTACGGATAGCTGGCAAACATTACACTTTTTGTAATAAAAACTTACTTAACATAACATACTACATCTTCCGTGTGTAATCAGTATATGAGATTATACTGTTCTTTACATGTGTATCAATTTTGTGTCGTGTAAAATATGTACAAAGTTTCTATGAAAGCGAATGTAATTTGGCAAAAGACCTGCTAGGGATGTGATGTACTGCGGCTTGGCTCGGAACAGGAAAAGCCTAGCCTGGGAGATATTCATTCCCTTAAAAAGTATGACTTTCACGAAAAGGACCTTTTTTTTGTTTTGTTTTTTTGTCATGGAAAAATCATGAAATGACTTCTCCCGCCCAGGGTAAGGCAAGAGAGAGAATCAGACTCTTACTGGCTAAACCCCCGTTCCTTCTCCTGCTCTGTGCCGAGGTAGCAGTGACTCATTGCAATTGCCCCGCAACCCCGGCTGAACATCAGCCCTATAGGCCCCGTCTGTGGTGGTCTATTGGCTCTTTGAGGAGCGCGCGGTACGCTACGCGCCGTATGATGGGGATGCTTCTTTCATCCCTACCTTTTCATTTGGAATTACATCTGTTAGCATTATATAAATAATTTTACAATCTAACAGTATTTTCGTACTAAACAGTTACCTCCGTATAATCTGTTGGCACCCGACGCGGGTTTATTTGATTCCACCACACACAACACACGTTGGCATTCGACGCTATTGTTTTGTTATAACAAGGTGAATACAACACAATATTAATACAATATGTAAACAACTACATACGCATTTACAGGAATTTTGTATTTCCATTCCAAAAGGTTTATAATCTCGTGATTTATACTAGTAAAACGCCCCGGCTTCGTACGGGTGCCACGTTGATACTAAAATTCTCAAAAGTGCCTTTTCAATCACTCTATCTTTAAAAACATCGCATTAAAAATCATTGAGAAGTTTTAAAGATTTATCCTGTATATAGGGACAGAGAAAGCGACTTTATTTTATACTTTGTAATGACTAATTTGCAGTATGAAATAATATAAAGAATCTATTTAACAGGACCTTTGTCCTATAAGGTTTTTTTAAACTATAAAATTGTAGGTGTCCTTTGTCATTTTAAAAAAGGAATAAACTCCATTTTTGATTTAAAATTCTTTTACAAACGGCTAGATTAAAACAAAACAATGTAAATGAGAAACGAAGTGTAACAGTTGCATTAATAATTATGCACCGTATGTATTGTATCGTATTGTATTCGTCAACAATACATTGATACTTGTACAATAACTAGGTCATTGTTCAAAAGAGGTTGTTTATTTTAAGGTCGTTAGTAATTGCTGCATATCAAATTTTATTGTATGATGTTAAAAGGCAGAATTTCTAGGTTCAAATTCCCTTGTAAATGGCAATTAAAGTTTTGTAAGTAGTTCATTCTTTAAGCTGAGATATATCAACTGTATATACTGTATATATGAATTAATATACACACACATCACATATCATCAGCCTATCGTCTTCACACACGAAGAAAAGTTGAGCACCACGCTTGCTCAAGGCGGATTGACGTTATTTTGCCTTCACCAAATGTCTTGTGGTGTCTTAACAATCTTAGAAACTACACACATACATACATATCACACTCATTAAAAAAAAGTCACATTGGTACTTGTCAGGTTTTGGTAATATAATTACTCCCACGTCTGAGAAGCGGGCGACGACGACAATAATTACGTATAATGTACCTGTAATATGTATATAACCTTTTTAGTTTAGAGAAAAAAGTGTGGGATAGCCATGCCTCGACATGATTGGTCGGCAACGGTGGCTGTTACCGGAGGCCCAATCCTTCCCCTCCCCCAATCCTAAAATCTCTTAATCCCTAATCCCCAAAGGGTCGACGATGCACTAGTAACTCATCTGTTGTTGCGGGTGTCCATGGGTTGCGCTGGTTGCTTACCATCAGGTAATCCGTTTGTTCGTTTGCCGCGTTATCAAAAAAGAGAAATTGTTTCACGCTCCCGTAGTCCGCTTTTCATTGACTCATGATTGTAATCTAACAGACGTGTCAATGAGTTATTAAGTACTACAATTTAAACTGTACAAAGCCACCGTCAGTGTACATTACAACTGCAAATTGCTACAATTTTAATAACGTATAGCGATAAATTAACTATTTTCACATCTAAACCACTCAACACGTTCATTTACTGTGAAATTCTTTGACATCGTAATTCATTTTTTTTTTCATTTGTTTATATACTAGAACTAGCCTCTATCACGCGGTTCTGCTCATCATAGCGAGATGTATTATAGCCTAAAAAATCGACTAAGAAACACAAAAAGTATTGTTCGATTCCAACCAGTAGTTTCAGAAATTAGCGCGTTCAAACAAAGTGGGAAAAATCGTCAAATGTCTTTTTCCGTCCTGGGTGGAGCGAGAACAAGTACCTACCACTTAAAGTCAAAGTCAAAGTCAACCACTTTTAGAAAACTTACGATAATAATACCTATTTACGATATTTTTGGTGTTGTGCCACTTTCAGGGTAGATATAAAAATAATGGTCGTTTCTCCACAACATTCAGTCATTTTAGTACATCGACGTTGTAAACTAGTGATATTAAAATAAAAAAATATTGTGGCATTTATTACATTAGCGTAATTCGTCACACGCGAGAGAGTGCTCAATGAACTATTATTATATATTAGTGGCCAACCAACACGATAATGAAACACATTCCTTTATTATCAAGCAATGCACTTTTTTATTTGAAACGGGCGGCGGCGACAGCCTACCTCTTAAAGTACCTGATGGTAAGCAATGCGCGCCGCCCATTTACTCCCGCAACAAAGGAGGAATTAAGAAAAATAAAATAAAATAAAAAAATGTTTATTTAGGCATATCCAGATAATTTGGGAAAGTGTGCTAGAATAGTTAAGAACCCGCCTCCTAAAATAGGGGAACCCCGTGACTTAGGAGTCAGTGGCAGTGTTACTGTAGCTTGGTAAACAAAAAAAAACTGGAGGGAGGGGGAGGGGGTTGTGGTGTGTTGTGATGTATTGTGTTGAGTTGGGATGTGAGTTGCAAGTGTTGCGATGTGTGGACAATGATGTCGTCCTAATTACCCTGTGCACAAAACAAAGGTCAATTAAATCCGTCATTTAGATAATAAAAACATTAGTTATATATTCTGCGTTACATAGATTTCAGTTATCACTTTTTTGTATCGAAATCGTGACGTCACCCTATATTACAATACAATAAATCATCGAACATTTATTAATATTGGCTAAGATTGTTTCTGAAAGGATCAAGTACCTATATATATGTACAGAGCCCAAAAACTCAAACAACGTAATAATAGCAAGAATAGCGTTCAACAACCGCACCCTTTTTCGCTTAAAACGGACTAAAATACAACAGATTCCCTTCGGAAACCACCAGGCGTGACGATTATCATGCACGATATAGCTGACTGCTTATGTACTTTTATGAATATATTTAGCTGGTAGAGGGTGATCAATGTATGTAGGTACACGTAATGCATCCTGTTTCGATCGTCAATTAATCGGTGAGGGTTAGCCGAACCGGAACGAAACCTATTACGAAACGTAGACGATAAGAAATACAATAATAGATATGCACTTGTTTGAAAGTTTTTTTTTGAGGTGGTGGTAATGTCGTCGTAATACTTCTCCTACTCTATGTGCGGCGAGAGGGTGTGTCAGACCCTT